CCCTTTGAAATCAAATCTGGTTTTCTCCAGCGTTAGTAAAAGAAAAAAAAAAGATAGTATTTTAAAAACGGCTTCCCAAGAAAAAAGGAAAAGGGGGAGAGGGGAAAGAGAGAAGGAGGAGAAAGAAGAGAAGGGAAGAGAAGGGAGGAGAAGGGAAGAGAGGAAAGTTCCAGCAGAACTTCATTCAAAGTGGCTTTAAAAGTAAGTTTCACACCTGAAGAAAAAAGSGTATGGGATTGAAACTGCAGATGAAATCTGGAAGTACTTTGGGCCTTATTAATAATACATGATACTCCAAATTGTTTTATCTATTAGGAGGATACCTTGTGACATCTCAGAAAGCCCAAATAAAATATGATTTCTGTCTGTACTTGCAGGAGGACTCTATGTACTCAGATGATGCAGGCTGCRTTCTCTGCTCTTCCAAACTCTTCATCAGCCTGCATCAGAGCTTACAAAGTGCTGCTGAGTCAGAACAGTCTCACCTAACAGTCACAGAGCACCGATTTTTCACAGGCAGAAATAACTTCCCATAATATATGACACCCAGAAATCAGTCCATGGTATTACCATTTCTGTTTATATTAATAAAAGCTGTATTTTGTATYCCATTACAGTTATTTAACCTTTGGCATCTAACCTCTAGGTCAGTTTGCTCTTTATAACAGTGCATTTCTTTTTCAGCTTTGTTTCTATATTTAGRAAACTCATGCTCTGAAAGAAGATTTTTTAAATTTTTCCCCCCCAGTATATTTAACCTAGCTCGGAAGTTTTGGTATTTCTCTGCAATCTACAATTTTTTTCTCCAACTCAGATAATGCATTGCTACTTTCACCACTGTTAAAGAAACACTTTGCCTTTCAAAGGGTATTTTAGTCTTCAGCATGTTCTTCACTATCTCATATGCAGTCCATATGCAGTAAAAATACAGCCACTTTTACTGCAAATAATAGTAGTTTTCTCTCTGTCTCTTCTCTTGCAATTTTTTCTCTATCAGTATTTTTGGCAATGGAGATGAAACAAATATACCCTTCACTGACAATGCAGTGTACAACTCTCTGGATGTCAGCAGGAATGCAGAGAGCTCTAAGAATAGCACATTTGGTTCCTACCGTGCAAGTGGAGCTCAGAGACACAGCGTGTCCCACCCAGACAATGGCTGTTTATCACCTACCTCCCCCCAAAAAACCAACCTTTTCAGCTGAATTTTGGTTCTCAACATTTCACACACACAGCAGTCGGGGGCAATGCTGCCCTCCTCCCTGAGACTCCCAAAATTTAACTCAGATTAGCTTGGGCTTGGAAAGGAATAGGCACTCAAAGTGATTGCTTTATTTCAGCCTGACTTAAACTGTGAATGTAATTGCTGGTTTTCCCACCTTCATGGAGCACAAAGCCCTGTGTCTGTTCTTACACTGGAGGAGTGACACAAGAGCTCTTCTGGAAGTGGGGTGTTGTATCAGCATTGCTGAAGGCAGAATTGGGCCAAGTGTATCTGACATTCCAGAATAGGAAATCTGCAAGTACAAACTCTATTTAGACATGAAAATCAGGGAGATGCCCAACTATTCAACCTGCCTGGGCAAATGCAGCTTTTCATGTGCCCAGAAACAGCCAACAAAGTCAAGTGGTGAAGCTTTACCCCTGCAAACAGCGTGTGATAGTTCTGGAGACTATCTTTGGCATTTACTACCATCTTTATACGGGGGATTTAGGAATCCAGACCTTTGAGTATAATTTCACTCACAGGCATCAGCCCTACAGGAATAAAATGAAAACCTGCCCACAGCCAGAGAGCAGCGCTGGCCCCAGCAGGCTTTGCACTATCACACAATGCAAACTGTCAGCGCCTCAATCAATACCCATCAATGCTCAACAATAAAGACATAGCGCTTCAGATGTGGGGAGATTAGCCCCTATCAGATCCAGCAGTTGTCCAGGCAAGACAGGATCTGGGATGCAGACTGATTACWCTTAAAAGATACATCACTAACTACAAAAATGGTAGAGCTGTGAGGCACCAGTAGTAACCCCGCTTCTGGAATGTGGAGTCTTTGCTTTAATRCACATTAAAACAACAGCAAAACGCTCACTCTGTGTCTGTGGCTGCTGCTCTCTTCCCCATGTTGCTGTGCCTGCTACAAGGATCAAATTTCATGGTTTATTGTTCTCCCTCCAACTGGCCACCATCCACATTCTTCTTCCGTACAAAGCTGCACCTCTTGCTCCAAAGAAGAGAGTACTATGCCTTCTTTTTATAAATTTTAGTCACATTTGCAAACACACACACTGAGTAAGGGGATGACTTTTAAGCACTAAACAGCATTTCAGGGAATGCTGTTTATTTTCTCTGAGCAAATTCCTGCGAATGAGTCTAAAAAAGGGTAATTTTCCACCAGAAGTTTACTAATTTTTTAGATGCACAAGTTGTTTCTCCTGTCTTTTGCATCTTTAAATTATGCTTTTAGTGAAACAACTGCTCTATGCTTGAAAAGTCCTATTCATCACCTGCCTCAGCAGAGAATTGGCACTTAGATTCTGCAAAGCTCAAATTCAGCTCTGGATACACTGCTGGAAATCAAAACCACAGCCACTGGGGCTACTCCACTATAATTGAGTAAAATTGGTACAGAGCAGGTCGGGTCCAAAATTCAGTATCAATCTCTCAATTGAATAAAAAAATCTTTTGCAAACAAATAACAGATCTCCATGCTAGATTCTAAGAAATGTAGCAAGTATCTCAGACTCAAGGATTCCTACACAGAATAATTTTCCTATGKAATCTTTCTTTTAATTCAGCACTCAGGATCCATTTTCTTCTATGAGATTTGCAGTAAASTTATCAAAACCTTACAAAATGCTCCACTCCTGAACATTCACCATCTTTCTTCAGCAGCTCAACAGACTGTAAAGCTGAAGCACTGTCGTCTGTGTAATTATTGTAATAAGTCTTCCCTGTAAAACGAGGGAGGCACCATAAGCTTACCTAACTAGTCTGAAAATGTAAAATGCTCATCACCTGTAATCATTGTCTTAACTGTCCTTGATCTTTACTGATAGCAGCAAGATTATAATAACTCTCTCTCTGACAGTGAGAATCGGCTGAAAATGTAGCAAAGGCAGAGCACCAAGAAAGTTGCTCAAAGAAGGACTATTTCGGCCAATTAGACAGACTCACTTCAGGAATTTTTTTTTTTTTTTTTTTGGTGGCTAATCAGTGATGCAAGGGGTTCAGAGGTGTAAGATGAAAATGCAAAGCAGGGAAAACTGGGGCATAGGAAACCTCAAGAAGGACATTCCAACTTCACAGACTCAGTGGTGGAGCAGAAAAAAAAAAAAAGCTCAAAGGTTATGGACATACAATCAAAACTGATCATGTCACTGCGGTTAATAACTTATTAGTCCTCATCCCAGATGCAGGGAAACACCATGAATGTATTCCTCACCCACACCTGCCTCCAGAGTAAAACACCTGGTGGGCAGTAATTAAARGAGCTGCTGCACTTTGCTCCCTTTCCGTTGTACATCTATCCACAGGCCTGGCTCCCAACCAGCAAGACTCTGCTCTGGGATTAATCTGGGTCCCACTGAACACAAGCAGGGTCCTCACGTGCTWAAAGCAACAAACTGCTCTAGGTCTTTGTTGAATCAGGGCCCTTGTAACCCCTTAAAGAGCACTACATGAGCTCCTCTGTTACCTGTTCTACATTTGCATAGGCAAATSCAGTGAGTCACCAGTCCTTCCCTGCTGCCAGTTTAAGCTGATGCATGAGGTAAGGGAGTGTGCACAACTTGGAACAGAGCGAAGTGATCCTAAAGTGGTGCAGTGGCAATGCACTCACAGATTTACCACTCAGAAGCTGACATTWAGAACCTATCCCCTATTTCTCATTGCTATCATAGGACATTATACCATTTAGTTACACCAAGGTTACACCAAGTCACCTACACTGATGAAATCCCCCTCCATAAGAACCAGTCACTTTGTAGGGAAGGAGAGCAAAGAAAACCTGGCTCTGGAGCACATTCCACACTTCAGTTCTCAAGCTCCCAGTAGAATTTCAGAGATCAGTCTCTGTTCTGCTGGGAGAGAAGTGCCTCTTTCAGTCCTACCCAAGCTGCTGATGCAGTGACCGTGTGCTGGTTCAGCCTAACAAACCCCTTGGTTTGGTGGTGAGATCCAGGGTCTCCACCTATTCTTCTGAACAAAAAGAGATGTTTATTCTTCACAGCCAGGCTGSTCTCAGGTGAGTCCCTGAGCCCTTCCCTGCTCTGAGGGCCCTGTTCAGAGTGCATCTCTCTAATCTGGGGTAGTTGCAGATTCACACCTCTCGCTGAGTCTCAGGGAGAAAGTGGCTGGACAGAAACCAGGGCTGTGCCTCACTTTTGCCAGCTGCATTTTTGCATTTACATGCTCGATTGGTATCACAGATCACCATGGGTGGGGAATGGCCCTCATCCAAAGCAGGGAATGGCTTCTGGCAAATGCTACTAACAGGTATTTCAAGTCTGCCTCTTTGCTATTCAGGAGCTGCACTGTTTGACCTGCTGGCCGTGAAGGACACATTTTAACTTCACTTCTCACCCCACCTGATCTTTTCGAGCCTAAGACGCATAACACAGAGATGAATTTGTTGAAGGGCATGAAGATAAAAGGAAGATATTCCCACTGAAAGGATGACAGGAAACATGCGATGAGAATGTCTCTAGAGCTTATAAGCTAAAAAAGACTTTCACCTACATATATAAAAAATTGTTTTAAAATAGCACAAAGTTCTCCACCAGCCTAAAACAGGCAATGCATGGYTGAATTACAGTACATTTTAAATTGAAGAAATAAAGTTACTCTGATAACACCAGAATGTTGTTCATGCATGCACTGTGCACACCTCAGAAGYTGTGACATCACATTTGAAACACAAATGGAAAAGCAAAAATAAGAWAATAAACGACTCAGTATTTTCACATAAGCTGTGTGAAGACAGAAGAGAGGTTCTCACCTGTCTGCTTTGAGATGGCAGTGTGGCAGCCTGCATCTGTCTCTGCATGCGATGTGGCTGCATCAGCTGTCGGAACTGCTGCTGGAGAAACTGGCTGTTGTTGTTCTGCTGGGACTGCTGCGTGGCTGGAGACTGCTGCTGCTGCTGCTGCTGCTGCTGGAGATAGTGAATGAGGGACTGCTGCCCTTGCCCTGCTGTCAGAGGGGACATCTTTTGAGTAGCTGACTCTGAGGCAAAGTGAGACAGCGGTTTGGTGTTATTGAAAGAAAACTGGTCTTGGCTAACAGGGCTCTCATTCACCAGACCTGGCTGCAAGCTACTGGATGGCTGTTGCATAATTATGTTCATATTTTTGGTCTGGTTTGTAGTCATTGATTTAAAAAGYGAGTTCTGCATACTTGTGGGGTTGCTGGTGGGAGTGATGTTAGACATTAATGTACCTTGAGGACTGAAGGGCTGCTGATGCAGAGCTGGGCTTGACAGCTTTTCTGGCCTGTACGGTGGAGAAGGTCCAGTATTTGTGGAGGCCATGCTGGCAACCAAGTTGTTCTGTGGGCTTTTAATGCTGTTGGCTGGCAAGCTGGCTGCTGTCAGGGCGGGCAGCATGGAGCTCTGTGGGCTGAAGGGTTGCTGGCTCAGAGCAGGGCTGGAGAGCTTCTCAGAGCCATAAGGGGGAGAGGGGCCATTGGATGGGGTGCTGCTGGAAGTCATGCTCGAAAGAAGAGTGTTTTGAGGACTCTGAATRTTGTTTCCTGGTAAATTATTTGCAGGCATGCCAGATACCATAACATTTTGAGGACTGAAAGGCTGATGGTGTGGGGATGATCCTGCCCTGTAAGGTGGAGAGAGACCAGGAGGAGACATCGTTGGCCAGCTGGGAGCCTGTACTTGCTGCTTGCTACCAGACACCTGCTTGCTGGCTGCCAGCTGCTTCAGCTGCTGGGCGTGCCAGTTGGAGCCAGGCATGTTGGGCAGGGGGACCGGGAGCATCGGTGGTGGCTGGTTCTTGCTCTGAGCTGCTGTAGAGATGGGCGAAGCTGCAGGTTTGTTTGAGGGAGGAACTTGGAAGTTAGCTCCAGCAGATGATGGTCTCATCTGAGGGGATCCTCCACTGGTTGGATTGCAGCCTGGAGAAAAATCTTTGTTAGCAACGTGGTTCTCCAAGTGGGAAGTCTGCGGGGAGGATTTTGGAGTGGTGCTTATGTTTGGCTGGGAATGACTCAGACCGAGTGGATCTTCAGCCTTGCTGCACAGAATCTTCTCCAAATCCAGGTCATTGGGAGAAGGATCAGGCATTTTKGTCAGCTCTTCCAGTAGATCTTGCAGCTCTTGGTCCACAGACTGTAAGCTGTTTCCTTTCTCATCGTAGTGGACCATGCTGTTGGTCTGCCCTCCCATGGGCCCCTTCTGACTGATYTCTGTGTTGGGTGGCACTGAGAACGGGGAGCCAATGCCACCACCGTTCATGTGGTTGTTCTCCAGGAGCACCGGGTGCCCCGCCACTCCCAGGGAAGAGGCGCCGTGAGCGGCGGAGAACGGAGAGCTTTGCATTTCGGGACACGCCACGCTGGCATTGGCACCCTGGCCCATGGCAAGGTTCACATCGTCAAGACAAAGTCTTTTACTGTCATTTGGGAAAATGACATCAGGCACGCCACTGGAGGCAGGAGAGCTATCATCTTCCAGTTTTCTTTTAATGGATCCCTGTAACTGTGAAAATACAAAAGGAGAAGAAAGGATCTGTTATTGACCATATTCTGACATGCGCTGAGGCTCCACACTACAGCACTGGGTTGGAGATAAAGAAAATTAAATCATACAATTAAAAACCCAATCATGTGAGGCAAATTCAATCAGGATTTAAATGGGTGCAACTTCACTGAAATCAAAAGAGTTATAGTCAGACAAAGGCTAAATCTYGTGTGTTGGCCTTAAAACAGATGTTAAAGCTATAAAATACTGTCTGTCATGTGAACTTTAATACAAGTTTTTTTAATAGTTTCTGGTTCCATTTCAATTAAGACATTWTACTCCCTGCATAACAAACATGCCAACATTTTTATGTGACAATTTTTAGGTCTAAATGGCAAATCTGAATGAAACCCTGGACTGAATGTAGCGACCYTCTGCCAGTGACTCGGATTAAATTCAGACCTGAGACAATTAAATTGTTTTACATTCTTTATAGGCAGAACATCTGAAATAACTAGCATACTTTCTAAACAAACCAAAACAAAACAAATTCTCAGCTATCTATCTAAACAGACTTTCAGACTTCCTAATCACAGATGTTTTAGATTCCAGAAAGAGTAAGTAACAGCTAAACKGCTTAATTTTTGTTTATTCTTCTAAGTCTAAGGCATTGTGGGCTTCGTTCTTTTGAAGGATTGCCACTCATTCATAAAAATGGACATGTTTTCAAAATACAATTATATAAATATCTTGATCTACAAGAAATGGTGTTGTAAATTCACAAATCTTAGGGAAAAGAAACCTGCCTTCTACATATAAAGAAACTGAAACTGAAAACAATGCTTCTCATACTATTTCAGCCTATGGCAATCGCTTACAAATAAAATAATCTGTGGCTTTCAGTTTTAACAAGCATGATCTGTATGTCACAGGATTAATCAGACATTAACACTGCTGCTTCAAGTTAAGGGAAATAAGCGTTAAGACCTTGTTTATCAGTCGAGTATTTAGAAAAGTATCTCATCAACAATGGGAAAACCAAAGAACACTGGTTCCTCTAAGCCAGCTCACAGTAACGCCTCTCCCAGATCTTGGCTACAACTCCAAGTTGCATCTAGTGCAAAAAAAATCCATCTAATAAAAGCTCATAWCACCAGAAAAGTCCCCCTTTCAACCCCAGCATAACCAGATCCACCCTAGGGCTGTGCTGCATATGTCCAACTTCTAAATTTTACACTAATTTTTAAACACATCACAGTTATGCCTCAGTCACTGCACAGCTGCAACACTCTGGTGCTCTTGGACAAGCAGAGGGTGTACAGAGGCTGACAAACAGCTGATGCCCACCCCTAAATGCAGCCCATATTCAGGCAATTGCCCAGGCTCTGAGCKGGGAACGTGGCAGGGCTCCCTGGTGGTCTCACACCAGTGCCCTCTCTTCACTTCTGTGTGAACTGGTGGGCAGAGGGACAATGGCACATTTGTGCCCACAGTCACTGAGGCTGTAGATGCAGTTTGGGATTAGAATCAGACATTGCCATGCTGGTATCCGCCTTACACAGGCATTTGGATACAAGTTGGTTGTCTGTCAGCATCATGGCACATCTGGAGATTGCAGTGAGCTGCTGAACAGCTTTTAGGTGTTCATCTACCCTCCTTCACCAGACACAGCAGCTCTGGCATTGTGGCAGAGCCCTTCCCACATGGGTATTTTCCCTTTACTCCTGCAGAGTTCCCCCTTACAGAGTTATCAGTGCTTGTCCAGTGATCTCCAGTGACGTTGCTCTAACATGGGCTGTGCTCAGAAAGCTGCTGGGGAGAACTGAGGAGAGCTGCTTCCAGTGCACATTGTCTGATTACCTGAGAGCCTCTTTGGGCAGCAGTGTTTGCCCTGGGTCAGGATTGCTGCTCTGTGAGAGACTGTCCCAGTGTCACAGCCAGACACTGCTGCACCATCAGCCATTTACTGATGAGGCCAAAATTTGCTTTGCTTTAGGAAATGGAACCAGGCCAAAATCTTCTCACAAGTGTTAGTCTAATGATGGATTAAATTGTTTTCCTCCATTTTCTCTGCTAAAAACTAAGCCAGAGTTGCATGTTTCAACAGATGTTGCCCTGTGTAGGCTGAAACATGTTGGTAGAGCATAACTACATATATTTAAAACTCAGACATGTACAGAGAGTATTTACAAGGGCTTCACATGTCCAAAACAAACAGARTGTGCTCCCAAGTTGCACCCTGGGAACTTGAGGCAGGAAGTGSTGGGGGATCTCCCACCCTTGGCCAGCTGACATGCTGGCATGCATGTTCTTGCCAGCTCTTCCTTTGCCATAGGACATTCCTATGCTCTGAGTTACTGGGGAAAAATGTGGGCTTTCTAAACACTCTGAAATAGCTTTTTAACTGTTGCACTGGGGAATAAATGTGATGGGAAAACAAAACTCCATTTCCCCTAGATTATTACTAGATACAAACAGATAAAATAAGGCCATAGCTTTCCAAGGGCATGGGTATTCCAAAACTGGGACAGGACTTTTAAATAGGATGTTGTTGCTTAGCCCTTCTGAGAAGATTGGCTGTAAGAGAGGCAGTGAAATTAGCTGGGTGTCATGTTCTCTTGAAAAGCAAGATTCCTGTTTCCCAGGTGAGTATTTGCACAAGTACCATAAAATCCAGAAGACCGATTTCTCCCCGTGCAGGCAGGTATAACTCCACAGAATTTAGCAGCGTTGCTTTTGCTTAAGATAAATTGACTACAGCCCCAAACTTGAGAGAGAAAGATACTCTCCTTAAAGCAACTAAACAAATGATAGAATGATTTTGGTTARAAGGTGCACTTGGGTGCCATCATCCTTCTGCTTCAAGCACATCACCAATGTTAAAAACAGGCGACAGCCACCAGGCACTTCAGTATGAAGTTTCCATTATAAACAGAAATCCCTCCTGGCTCTGGCTGGGCTGGCTCAGAAGCRGTTTTCAGTGTTCCCCACTGACACCCCGGTGGTTGTCACTCCCACACAGCACGCTCAGGGCTGCTGCTGCCTGTGAGGAGGCAGCAGTTCCCTCCCCAGCTCCCAGGGACTGCTCTCCATGCACATGTGCTGGGCAGCCCTGACCAGAGCAGGGGACAGTAACACGGTGTCATATTGCTGGGACTCCTCTGGCTCAGACATGCCAGCCACAGTGGTGGCAGGAAAGCATTGCTACAACGATCCTACAACGTTTAGGACCAACAGTTCTGACCTCACTAATTCAAGAAGCTGTTTGTTGCAGAATGTTCGTCCAGTACTCCCAGATGTCGCAAGACTCTCTCTTTGAAGCCGATCTATCATTTTCTAGACTCTTCCTTATCAAACATATTTTTATTGTCCACTTCCTTCATCTGACTMCAGATTCCCCAGGATTTATTCCATCTCTTTCTCCTCTTCTTTACTTACACAATTTGACAAAATCAACAGAAAAGAGAACACTGAAGTATGTTTTTCCCCTTTTTCTGCTAATTAGTGTATTGGGCAATTCTACTTCAAACTGAATACCTGGGAAGTGAATGGAAATATTTTAGAAATGCATCGCATCACACACACACACACACACACACACACACACACACACACACACACACGCACACACTCCTAAGCGGGCTGGGGGCTGCCTATGGCTCAGTATGGGAAAGCTTCATTCAGATGTGCAAGGACAAAGCAGACAAGCAACAAAGGGGCTCCTCCGACCTTGTCAAAATGCTTTAAAATGCACTGGCATGCACAGGCTAACTTCTGTTTGGGAATACCTGGGAAACAAAGGCAGGCTCTCCGATTCAGGGAATATCCGATTATGAGTTCTCCATTATCTCAGGTTTGCTTTTAGCAGTGATCCCAGCTCTACTGTCCTCTCCAAACCAGCAGGCTGTCTTTCTGGGAAGGACCCGAGTCACGCAGGAGCAGCGCTGCTGGCTCGACGTAGCAGCACAAGCAGAATAAATAATAACTGTTTACGCTGCTCTGTCCACGGAAGCTGCACAGCTGTGGTTACAAACAGCTAATTTGTCACACGCTCCCTCCCCGCACCAAACTGATTCCCTCCGTGTGGGCAGAGCTCTCCACAGGCTCCTCTTGTGCAAGGAGGGAAAGGCAGGAGAGGCCAGTCCCTGGCTGTGCCCTCCTTGAGCTGAGCTCACTGGGGCTGCCACGAGGGTGACCTGGAGCATCAGGCACCTTCCAAACTTAGAGGTGGTGCTGGCCTTGAGGAACTCACTATGAATTCATTGAAGGGAGAAAGGAAGGCAGGAAGGGGCAAAAACTGAACCAGAGTGATCAAATTGTTAATAAATACACACTGCAGTGGATCCATTGGATTTTAATTACCAGCCACACGTGGGCACTTCTGGACTGGCTCCCTGCTTCGCCAGCACTCAGCCTTTCTTCAGTGGTAACAAACACATCAGCTGTCCCCAGCTGCCACCCCAGCTCTCCCCATGAACCACGCTGCCCCATGGCTCTCCTGCCAGCCCCTGTTAATTCTCCACCAGGAACTCGTGCCTTCCTTCTACTTCTCCTGGGAAGGAGCAACAACATCCTGCACTGGAGAGCCGTGTTCCTCCAGCTTTGCAATGACCCCTCCACCAGAAACAAGCCATCTCCAGCCAGACATTCCTATTTAGGCCAGCATACTGCAGAAATGAGAGAGGAAAAACATTAAGCAAGGTATTTCAGTGCCTCTTCTTGCAGCCTGTCAGTGAGTCAAGCCTTGATTTACAACAACYGCAGGGTGCCCATTATTGATCTGCACTGTCCCACCCCACTCAGTGCCACAGACAGGTCCAACCTACAGCAGCGATTCCCACACCTACACAGCCTCTTCAGGAGAGCACTGASAGCAAGGGGATGCTGCCATCCTCATCCTCCCTTGGCAGCTGCCCCTGTGCCCCACAGCACGGCTGGACACTCTCCTGATTTAATAAATTGAAGTTTATGGATCAATGACTGGGATATGCAGAATGGCACTCAGATAACCTTCCTTC